ATGACGAGAAGGATGTATCGGAATGAAATATTTACTGCTAAACAAGCACACCTTCGTTCGTTACTATAATCGTTCAATAATTTATATATGAACGATGATTTTTTCCTTATTTATGTCCGCAATTGATGAACCCATTTGTTCCTCTTATTCGAACATTCTATCGGTCATAATTCACATATATTGTCGTTTTGATTAGTAATATGCATATATGAGTCAAAATAAACTCGTTATATCTTGTCGGAATAAAAAGAAACAACAAAGAGAAACATGTTTCATTGTAGAAGATCATTGAGAAAGGAAAAGAAATAAGTGGGCAGTGAGAGAGAGAGAGGGAGAAGGAGAATGTATGAGAAACATTATTTATTAAGAAAATGTTGGAACATATTAATAATTGTATCACTTCGCGTTTTTTCTTTTTTTTTTGAACAATAAAAAAGCCTCGACACAGGAACGATTCTTACACATTCCATTACATACAACATTCTATCAACAATAACTGGTAGGTAATGAAGGCCTCCGGAAGGAGCTTATTTTTCTGTGTAGATGTATATATATTTATTTATATGTTTGTGAGTGTGTGTGTGTATACTTTATTTTATCAATGTTTCTATCTAAATAAATGCACATTTGCATTTCTGTATAAGAAATAATATTTGTACTGATTTAATTTTGTGATCTTCTATGACAACAAGTATATAGAATAGAGAAAAGCAGAAGCATTCACACGTATTAGTTCTTTAGATAAGCCTCCTATATACGAAATTATAACAATGAACACAATTGGCATTCTTACTGGTATTCTCAGTTGCATTTTACTTATGGTAAATATGAATATATATATATGTGATTTTTCATGTTTTTCTTTTTTATTAAATTCGATATTTTTTTTTCTAGTTAAGTGTTACTCATTCATATACATTATCAGGCAAAGAAAATGAGGGTGGACATCAATTGCTTGTTGAACGACCATTAGCACTTACACGAGGCAAATTCTATTCGATCGATCAAGATGATGATTCAATGATGAATAATTCCGATGAAGACGATGAACATGATCTCGAAAAACGTCGTTTTAATGCTTGGGCTGGTAAACGAAGCCTTGTAGGCAAACGACGTTTTAATGCGTGGGCTGGTCGACGATAAAAAAAATATTTTCTTTTTATTTGTCTCTCGCTCTCTTTTATTTTCTTTGCCAATAAATTGAACTAATTATGACAAAAAAAACATATACACATATTTATCCACGCGATTACCTAGTGAAATTGCGGGAAATGTTTTTAAGTTTGTCATTTATTCTATTCTCTATCTCACGCTTTCATTGTATATCATGACATCAAATATAAATAAAAATAAAGAATTACTTAATCGAATAATGATATTAGAAAAATTTATTGAACTTAAATCAAATGAATGTGCTTATTATCGAACTAAAGTTCATCTTATGCAAATGAGTTCATTTAATTATTCACAAATAATAAAAAAAAAATCATTAATTAAACAAGATTATAAACATAATAAACGATCTTCAAGTGAAGATCTTAGTCATAGTTCAATAACAAGTCAAAATCAATCAGCTAGTATTGATAATAGACATCGAAGAAATTCTGTACCACTGTTGTTACAACAAAAAACAAATCTAAAAAAAGTAAAAAGAAAAAAAAAGAAAAAGAAAAATTAAACTCATTAAAGGTGCGCTGCTCTACCTTTCATGACTCAAAATTTTTGTTTCGTTTGCGGTCGTTGTATAATCCGAAGTAGTGTCTATTTACTGGGTACATTTTGAAATAGGAACATTATCCTTAACCATTAAAAACTCTAGAAAACAAATGAGTCAAAGCTATGCATTGTGTTGCGTTTTTGTCAAACTAAATTTTTCATGACAGTAGGTGCAGAAATATCCCGATTTCTCCGACCTAGTACACCTGACTAAGCTAAAACTTTCTTTCACATGTAATATACGCTCTTTGGAATAAGTATTTATTGTTTTATTTCAAAGAAAATATTGTTCAGCTAATAGGATACCTTCGATTGCTTGATTTTGAAGAACAAAAACTAAAAAAAAAAATACCCATTTCAAACAGTGTCTAGTATTTGTAAAAAGAAATTGTTCAGCTCGATACAACATAGTATTGCGGGAAAATAATGGAAAGGGCATTATGACCCTAATATCTCATAAGAACTAGCATTCAAAAGCTCTGAGTCTACGACAACTTTTACTCTAATCGTTCAGATCTATCTGCTCTGAAAGTTTAGATTTTTCTGATCAATGATTCTCTAGAAACTTCGAGAGAAGCGAGGAGGTACACTGAATAGAATGAATAGGAAAAAAACTAATTGTTATTTTTTAATAATAGAATTTAAATATTTCTCATCTGAATAATACATTAATTCCATTTGATCAATCTACCAAATCTAAACATACCATACGACGGCATCGAAGGAAACTTAATAATAAAACATATGCACAAAATCAAAATTATTATGAAGATGTTATTTCACATTCAAATCAAAATCTATTCAATCCTAATTCTTCTTTATTATCAAAAGATAAAAATCTAATCGATCAAATTCTCATTTCATATATCAATAAACAAGTTCAACAAACGTAAATTTATTTTCGAGAAGAAAAAAAAAATTTGCACATTTTATTGTATCTTGTTTTATTTTAGTGTTGCTGCTCATGATAAAAATATTCAATGTAGCGCTAATGATTTTCATTCACTAGACTTATCATCAAAATCTTCACATATTGTATTATTGATTCGATTACCAGATCGTTTTATAAAAACACTTTTAGAAAAGCAAAAAAAAAATCTTAAAACACCAAAATTAAAAGTTCATATTTCATCTGAATTACTTAATAAATTATTTCAACCAAGTCATTTTAATTCAATGATTACACAAAAAAATCAATTTACAATTGAATCACAATATGGTAAAATAGCAGCTTGTGTTCATCAAGATAATTTAAATGATATAGAAAAATCTAAAATTGTTCATGCTAAAGCTGAAGTTAAAAATCATTATGAACATCGATTACCAATCATACGACATTTAGTACGAACGAGAAGTAATGGTTCTGAAAGAAAAAAAATTATTGCCGAGAAGAATCTTCATACAAGTTCACATAAACATAGATTGTATCGGCGTAAAAAAAAACATTTACACAAATCATATAGTACATCTCTTGAGGAAATCTATTCGAGAAGAACTTCATCGACTAATGAGATACAATCAGTAGAAACACTACCATCGTCAGATCAAACGAGTAATTCTATTAGTGTTGAAAATAATCAAATTAAGAAAAATAAAAGAAATTAACACGGAGAAAAATTGAATATTTTAACACGCGAGAAATATACAGAATGAATCAAAAATCACTTTACTGAGAAAAAAAAACAGAATGTCGTCGTTATATTTTGATTAAATGAGCTCGTTTTTTTCAGGTGTATTCATATTCATAAGAATAATGTTGACAAAAAGTATTTTCTCAAGTATCACTGTTGATCTAATTATAATGCAGCAGTTTTGAAAAAGGAAAACAATTTATTCCAATGGCCAAAATGGTTCGCTGTAGAAAGGTCAACCAGTGCTTCATTGAATCCACTATCTTAAAATCAATAAAAACAACTGGCCACTTGAGATCGAACGCATGAGAAAAATATTTCCTTACTCGTTTCAAGTTCAATTGACAATACACTATTGGTGCAATCGAGGGTATGGATGTGAGTCTTCTCTTCATGGACATTCACACCCTATTGTCGTTAGAGCTCATATTTATACTAAAGATTTATGTGTTGTTACACATTGAGTCTTGAAAGTTTCAGTTCTAAACGATCAGAATTTGTAGAAAAAATTATCAATATGCTTCATGTACTCTTATGTGATTTATAAGGGAACCTGTCAAGGTATTCAATCGCTTTTCAATGAAAACAATGTTCATTTGATCACTAATGAAGAAGTCGAGAATTGTTTGGCTTTGTGAATCTTCTTTCTCAAGAAATCGAAATTTTACTGGGTTCTTATCAGAAGCTAGATACATGGTATGTTGTCGACCATGCTGATTCCTAATATAACTATAGGAAATTCTGTTAGGTGTTTACATGTTGGGTTTCTATAAAATCAGTTTTTAGGCTAATAAGCATTTTGCCAAGATCGTTTATGATTTACTCAGATTATAGAATATTTTCAAGTTGCTCCTTAGTCAATAACTCTTTGTGTTTTAAATAAAATAATATCATCTTGAAGATTTTCACCGAGGAACGTAGATATGTATCTATTGTATAAGTTAGAATGATAGTATTTTCTGGAAAGAAAAACGATTGGTGACAGAAAAATTTGTTAACTTAGAAAACTAGTCTATAAAATCCAAAGGAGATCTCTTATGATTATATTCAGAATCCACATGATAGATAATTCCTTATCCGCTAGCTTTCGAAAAAAAAGTGATTTTTCAGTTGAACACAGTTTCTCGTCAGTAAGATTTTGTTATCTCAAAAATAAAGGCAGAGCAAAACTAAACCATTCTAGACATTTCTAATACTCTGCAAATGAATATCTTCTCAGTTGAAAAGCGATTTAACACTTGGAGAGGTTCCCTCGTCATAGAAAAATTTTTCATAATGATTATCTAAGCTATTATTTTTAATTTACTGTAAGTTTTGAAAATTCAGAGATATTTTCAACTTCTAAATGTGACGCTTATTTTGAAAACGAAGATATCTTGTCCTTTCACAACTTTTGAAAGGTCACTATTTTTTATTAAAGTCAACGGTGGTATCTCAAAACTAGTCTTTGTCGAACATAAACTGTGGATATACTTTAATCAGTAATAAATAAATCAGCCCATTTACTCAAAACATGACGGTAATATTCAATTTTGTTCTTGATAAAGAGACTTTTGGGTTTGCTTGTATGTTGTGCATTTACATATCAGTTTTTATTATACGAACAAAAGAAAAAAAAACAATAACTATTGTTGCGAAAATAAAATAAAGTCTTTATTCATATACTTCATCACCATATTGATTCTTTCGTGCATTCGATCGTTTAGGAGGATTCGTCGTAATTGGATTTAATGTTGGTTCATTAGATATAATTGGCAAAGGTGCAGGTTTTCTATTGTCTTGTACAGATACATTTGTTGGAGTATTAGTGGAAGGTGTATCTAATGAGAAAAAAAAACTAAGAAATAATATGAAGAGAAAAAAAAAACAATTGAAATACCAACCATTTCGAACTTTTGTTCCTGAAAATTTTGATGCATGTTCAGCTCGATTTTTTTGACGTAATTCATCATAGGTTACATATCGTCGAGAAGTATTTTTATCTGTTGTAGCATTTAGAGGTATAATATTATCTTGTTGATCTTCTTCTTCTGTATTATGTGTACCAAATATATTGGTTGTTGCTGATTTTGAAACGATTTCAGGTGGTTGTGCCCTAAAAGAAATCGATAATAATCGATCGAAAAAGTGAGAAAGAAAATATATTCCTACATGTCAGAAATCATATCGTATGGTTTTGAATCGAATGAACGTGCAAGATTTGAATCAGGTAATCGTTGAAGAATCATTTTTCGACATTCTGGGACATAAGATACTTTACCCAATAAATATGCTATAATAGAAAGAAATTATAATGATGAAAATTCTTATTCGAAAGTCTGTGAAAAATAAACTTATCATAATGTTAAATTTTCCGATTCTAAATGATCTGCGAGACGAGATAAATGGGATTTTTCGAGATTCTAGACTGTCCCTCAGGATTTCCTTCCTTCCATAAAAGACCACCTCTGATCTAAATTAATTGGATTCTCAAAAAATGAGAACTTTGTTTGGGATATTTCTATTAAAATATGTCTAGTTTTCAGAATTTCAAGCTGAAAATCTCGATCACCAACATTTATTTTGGAACCTCTAAAAATCACTGGAAAAATCTGAAAAATCACTGTGCTTTTCTGAAAAACTTTTTTAATAAAAAATGATGAACATAGATTGAATACAATAAAAAATGTCTCTGAAGACTTTGAAAAGGAGTTGCGTTATTTTTTTTACAAATGCTTGTCATGAACTCTTCCGAAGAAACATATTCACCTGTTGGATGCTGTTCGACTTCATATTATGGCTACGTTTAATTTCCTTTGATATTAAGGAAAGTGTAAAAGAATATAAACTTATGGCTTCATGAACAAAGAGTTATGGTCGTTTCAATGAAACTTTTTTTCCATAGGTTGATTTTATAGTGATGAAATGATTCTGAAAGTAACGATGAAAACGAATAAGCCTTTCTCGGCGCATTCAGTTTCCAAAAAAAAACAGCAGTTAATTCATAAGGTGACACAGTAATTGAATCTATTTTAAAATTGAATATCTTGAGAAAGATAGGCTCGTTCTCTTTGAGACTTTCAAAATCATCTAATTACTAATAAATATACTTATAGGAAAAAAATTTCAGATCAAAACTCTTTGCTCTAAATTTGTTGGAGACTTCTTGTTCTTAGTAAACACTTGATTAAAATTGTCATAATTTTTCAACATTAGATTGCAGGGTTGAATCTTTTCAAACTTTACTTTATTTCCAAGGAAACCATTCGTAGCCATAATATGAAATCAAACGGCATCCGATAGTCGAATACGTTTCCTCAGTAAGACTTATGACCAGTACTTGCCGTCAGGTATGGAGAGTCGAGTGAACGGCACCCTCCTGAATATTAAGTTGACCCTTCCAAAGCTTGCGGTTATTATTAGACATGCACGAAACCCAAATGCTTTGGATTTGATTTTGGCGCATTTCTAGTTACTATACCACGTACGATGTGTCTCTGCTTGCGAAAATAGATGTTCACCTCTCTAGAGTTTTAAATCACCAGAAAATCTAGATACAACACAACCTATGACTTGACTGATTTTTCCATTGCCTATATCTGTCCATCGATGTATCCAATTGAGACATGAACATATTTGCACAAACATTATCACTGATTTATCTTTATTATGAAAATTTCTTTACCTCCGAAAATTGCTCCAGTTAATTTTAAACCATAAAATTTAGGTATTACTGGATCTAAATTTATCATGAAAACAAAATATGTTTTTGTAAGACATCTCAATGAAACATACTATTCACACGTCGATATGTCATAACAGCTGTCGTTACTGCCATTAAAGGTACCGCTATAGATAGAAAATAAAAGAATAATATTTCTTCAAAATCAATATAGAAAAATCTATTACTCACATCTATACCAAAAACTCGATTTTCGACATTCATCCATCAATGCACTCTCCTCTTTTGTTAAACGAAACTAGACAATAAAAGTTTTCAATTAGAAAAAGAGAAACCAAACAAAAATGACAACAACCAACCTGAGTACCCATATTAATCACAATTATTTAAAAAAAGTAAAGATAATCTAAGTATAATCAATGAAAATGTCTTTTATCTTTTATTATTATAATTAATAATTAATTTAAAAAATTTTTGATTTTTTTTTCTCTGTTTGTCTATATCGTTGATTTACTTTTTCTTTAGAAGATTACAAGAAAAAAAAAGAAATAGATTAGATAGCATGTAAGAATATTATACAAAGCAAAGAAACAATAAACAAAGATCAAAGGCACAATTACTGTGAAACAAACAAAAAGAAAAAGAACAATTAATCTTATAGTCAAACATAAAGCTGATCAACGAAATAAAACTTGTCAACAGTAACAAGTACAAACTACTGATACAATAAAAACAAAAGAATGTTTGTTTTTTTTTTGTACAAAAAGACAGAAAGGAAAAAAATAACTTGTCATCATAGCCATAGGATGTAAGAAGGAAAATGCATAGGTCACCGTTGCTTAAGTAGATTAGAAAAAAAAAATTTGTGCATGCACGATAGGATACAGATCAGAGAAAGGAAATAATGAGAATAATTAATAACATCCATCATTCCATGACGATATTTGAGGACGTGCTATAGATTTTTGTCCTCGAACAGTTCTTGTGACCACCATACTGTCCGAAGATTTAGTAGAAGAATTTACATTTGACGATGTAGGTCTAAAGAATATAAAATATTATTTGATTTCATTGTCAAAAACAAAGAGAGTGAGAAAGATCATGCAATAAATCATGCAATTAGATAAGTGTGATTCGTAACGCCTATTACTATACACGTGCCTGTTTTTAAAATCCATTCATCGTCGTACGCCGCGAAGAAAGTGAATGATGACTGAAAATATGTTTAATATTTCACTAGTATTATCAGTGAAGATAAGAATAATAATAAACAAGCAAACCACAGCAAAGTAGATGTCATACAAAGATCATCAAATGAAAAATCTAACTTACCGTGTTACAGTTGTAGTAGTAGATTTTTGTTGTTTACCAACAGTTGGTATTCCACTTTTTCTTCCTTGACTTAATGTTGATGATGAACTACGTGGAAGAATTGTTTGTCGACTTGTTGTTATATTCATTGATGACGATGATGATGGAATACGTTCAACAGATGAATATGTTGATGAATGAGGTAATATAGTACGTCGTTGTGGTCCAGTTTGTGATCGTGTTGGTGCTATTAATGGTTTATTACTTACATCAGTAAGTAGTCCATTTTCATTCGATATAAATTCTTTAGTAGTAAATGTTGAACCGAAACTATTAGGTGGTTTTTTACTATTTCGTTGAATAGATGATGATGTAGTAACTTGAACTTTAGGATTATTATTAGCATTATTATTATAAGATGTTTGTGAACCACGATAAGCTTGAATTGGACGATTTGTTGATGGTCGCGTACGATTATTATTAGCTGAATTTGGTGGTAAAACACTAGCACGTGTCGTTGATGTTACTGAAGATTTTGATTGTGTAACTGTTGATACATCATAACCATTTGTTTTAGTAGTCGTATTTGTTTGAATAGTTGATGCACGATTATTATTTGGTTTAACACCATTTCTAAAAAAAAAAATGAATAGATGTTTAAAGAATAAATTTTGATTGAAAATATATAAACCTTGTTATTGTTGATTTTGGAGCAACAGGAGGTTTAGTTCCTGGACGATCTAATTAAATAAAAAACGAACAACACAATAATTCATTTTGTTTCTTAACAAAATTTAAATAATTATTAAAGGTTTGTAATTCATTGCTCAATTATGTTTTTTTTTTTTATTAAACGCTCGGTAATTAATTTAAAAAGACTTAGTGTTAAATTTATGTTCGTTCAGCTTTTCTAGACACCATAATTTTTACCAAAAATGAAAATTTCTAAAGTTTGGTATAGTGACCCCTCGCACTCGAAGTCGTCATGGCTGAGTGATTTCATTGCTCGATACATATAAAACTAATGAGAGGAAAAGTATCTGAAATATATCCAGGAAAGAGAACATTGTGAAACTTTTAAAGCGAAGGTAAGAAAAAAAATATATATATGTAAATTATTCCATATGAAATTATTTTGACTGCTCATGTCATTATATGTCAAGGTGGAGAACTATTTTTCTGTTTACACAAACAATGTTCTTATTGAAAAACTTAAAATGACTTCCAATACAAGTATTATTCATTTAATGAGTAAATAAGTTTTTAAATTAGCTCAAATAATAATTATCCAACAGTAAATATTGCATTGATACTTTGTATATATTATTGAGCGTTTACAAAAGAAAAATACTGAGCAGTAAATTTATTTTTATAATTAAATCTACATGCACATACAACGAAAGCAAAAGCATTAATCGATAGTTTGATTGTTCAATTGGAAAAATTATACACTTAACCATATTTAATGTAGTATTTAAGTGAAACTTGTAAAATGATTGTGTGTTTAAACGGTTGAACGCTTATCAAAATAAAAAATTTATTATTAAGAACAGGTCACCTTTAAAGTTATTTTTTTTTGCATACTATTAAAGAAATTTTTTCTTTTTTTTTTCTATTCTTTCTTTTTTTTTTCTCATTCAGTCCGTTACATTATGTACATTAACATGACTATGTCTTCTTGTAGCTATGTGAGTAAAAAACATATTACTTATGGATTTGATTACTTCAGATATGCATAACAAAAAAACAAAAATCGATTCAATGCATAGAAACGAAATAATGAAAAGTATGTTTATAAAAACTAATTCATGGATTATTAAATTATTTAATTTTTAGGTAATTATCGAGAAAAACTAAAATCTTTTTATGCTTCAAAAAAATTTTCATCTGGAAAATGTTCGACAAAATGTACAACAAACAAATGTTTATATGCTTATGATAATTTAGCTTATGGTTTTTCTAATGATGTTAAACAAACTAGTGAAATTTACAAATAAAAATTCATACTAAATTGAATATTTTATCTATAAATACCAAAAAGTTTTTGTTTTTGTGATACAACAATAGGCCTTATAACACAACTGTTCATTTTTTATGATTATCTGAATTGGTTTCTTGTTCAATAAATATAAATTTCGTAAATGGAAAACTCACTTGATATAGATAAACTTGTACTGCTGCTGGATGATGCAAGAGAAACATTAGAACCGCCTACAAAGCACATAAAGCAAAAGCAAGCCAATAAAAGCAATGATATAAATAAACAATAAAATTGGCACGCAAAAATAGATTTAGTTAACAAGTTTTAGTCAAGCATTAATGTGCAAAGTAGTGATATGCGGAAAACAAAATACATTGATTAATGTATCATTATGAACCTGATTTGTATTCCATAGATGTGTTGTTCACATTAGAAGACAATTGATGTTGTTAAACGTTCATTTTATTGACTTGGTCTTAATGATGATAGTACATAAAAATATTTAGATTTTATTACAATCAACGAATGTTTTTTTTTCTTGGTCTTGATATATTACAAACAATATATCGAATTTCATGAATAACTTCGTTAGAACAACGGACCTATAGTCATGAATGAATAGCATCAAAAAAAAACAAAATTTACAAATTTTTTTTTTCTGTTGAATTTAAGATAAAATCATAATAATTGATAAAAATTATTTATGGAGCAAATAATAATCATTAAAATATTAAAAAAAAAAAGAAAAAAACTAACATACCGAAACGTTTAAACAATGGACCTTGTCGCTCAGCTTGGCGTAAATCTGCATGGAAAATTAGAGTATATGTATATATATATATATAATTATTGTCCATGTGAAACAGTAAGAAATACTAACTCTCAAGTTGAACTTTGGCCATAACTAAAAAATCAAATAAAAAAAATTATAAATTTACTATTGACATTTCAATCGTATAGTATAATTTAAGAAATGATGATCTAACGAAACAATTTATTTCGAAGTATATAGATAATATTAATTATAGAAGAATTATTTATTAGAAAAATTAAGATAGAAAAATTATTCCTATAAATTCTCGTAGACTTCAGAAGTGTCTTCAATTGAAATCTACATTTAGAAAGTCGTAAAGCTCGTCAATGTACCCATATCATCAAAGTTGTCTCAGTTTTGACGATTAATCGACAATTTTGTTTACATTATATGGTAAAATATAAAATAACATTTTTTATGTAGTATTTCAACTAATGAAGGAAGTTCTCCAGCTGTTTAATTGGTTTTTTAGTCGGAACTATGTGCATTATGAAGACCGAGGTGAGTTTTGAATATCCTGAAAAGAGTTCAAGTCCTTACTTTATTACTGTGAATATCAAGCATTTTTACAAGAGTTTTGACTTTGCATAGATCTAATCTGTAGGTATATATGAATGATGAAAGACATGATTTTATCGGCTACACCTACAATGCGGACACTTTTTTTAACCACTTAAGGTAAAATGTCCGCAAAGCAGAATCAGGGGGTATAGACAAAAATGATCGCATTGTAAAATCAAGAAAAAATTTATTATGTAAAGAAAGCCAAATATACAAGTAATACGAGATGATTCAACATTCAACTATGCTTTGGTTCATAATCTTCGTCATCTTTGTCAGATGTATCCAATATGTGAATGTATCGGTAACAAAGAGAACGTAGTCTTTTTTGACAACCATCTAAATCTAGTAGACCATTTATATAATCTTCTTTTGCTTGTACTAAAATATTTTCATTATTAACTGAAGTTAACCTTTTTGGACGAGTTGTTCATTGTTGTGCGTGTTCCTGTTCTAATCGAATCATTACTAATTCTTCAGCCTCTTGAATATATCGTATCCAAGATCAAATGGTAGGATGTGTTGAACAATGGGAATTTCTTCGTTTTATTGATCTAATACATTCATATACATTTGCATCCAATTTTCGCTGATGTTGGAATTCATGACTTCCATCTGATTTAATAGATGAAGTTTTTACAATTAAGCCTTCACGCATGACAATTGAAGCATTGCATAACTTATGTGTACAAATCCATATTTGATTTCCATTCTTATTTGTACGTTTTAATCCAAAAAGATAATTTTTAAACATTATCCCATTTTTACCAGATTGTGTGGCAATGAAAGAAATGTTATCATGGTTCACAATCGACATTTTTATTAACTGTTCTCCACTATTTCTATCTCTTTAAATACTTTCGTTCACGGTATAAAGTGAAACAAGATGACCTGGGCGATACCCGCCCGTCCACCGCTACACCAGCTCGATAGAGATGATATCGTCGTTAGAATCGATTTGTCTCTACTAATTTTCTTACTATTTCTACTTTTTTCTTGATTCTATAATGCGGACATTTTCATCTCTCTACCTCGACTCTGCTTTGTGGACAATTTTCAAAATGCGGTCATTTTTGTCCATACCCCCTGATTCTGCTTTACGGACATATTTTTCCTCCAATTAAGAGAAATCGCCCGCAATCAAGAAGACACGACTTTATCATAGTTGTCTGTGAGAATTGAAGCAACGACAAGATCTGAAACGCTCACAATAAACTATTCTGGTTAGGAAATGTTTCTCTTGAAATTCAAAAATTTATTTTACTCAGAGAGATCACGACATTTATTGAAAAACTATCGTCAAAATGTACTATCTTGATAACAAGAGCTTAAGACCTGAATTGTATTCAAAAGTATTCATAGTTCATTTAGGTTAATATAATGCATGTAGTCTAGACTCAAAAACAATTTTTCAATTGAGAGACTGTTCTCGTGAGATTGAATCAAAATGAATTGTATTTTATACGATGGAATTCGTTTCATTGTGTGAAGTTACTATACTTTCATAAAAAAAACATCAGCGCTTGATTAATAAACAGTTTTATTACATAGAATTTCAGCGACCTTCAATCGATTTTCTCACTAAATAATACAGCTTACGATATATTTACACTGACGTAGGTTGTATCTAGGAACATATACAGGAAACTTTTTATGAAATTTTTATTATATAACATAGGCATAGAGTATAATGAAATGTATCACTCAAAAAACCAAAGGAAAAAGAATACTTTGCGATGTAGAGTATTGTCTAGTGGTAGACTCCTTAGCTCAATATCTTCCCTATCATCAATAGTAGCTATAGTCCTGGAAAGAAGATCGGTTTGATGCAAAGTTCTTGTGCTCAATCATCTGAGTTCCCTGTATAAATTGACTAACCTCGCGGACAGATGTATGTAACAAATTAGTCAATCTGTTCACACACAAGTGACCTAAGATAAATAGCCGTTAGTGATTTGTCCAGGATCATTCAATGGCTGCTTGTACAGCGGCTTAAATTTACTATCTATTGAATATATGCCGAACAGCATAGCCAATCAGCCATGATGGCCTCAGAAATATCAATTCACTAATACATAATCAACAAGTGCATATTCAAATAATAACAATCATACGTATCATAAGTATTTTCCCCTTCTCGAAAATTTCTCTTATATCCATACAATTATTGAATTACCTTCAAGATCAGTGTAATCTAATGGTTCTCTTTCAGGTTCTCTTGAAGTATCTCTTGATCGTATCCTTGTTGTACCAGTAGTATGATTAGGATTCTTTTCATTAGCATGTGTAATTATAATATTAGCTCGACGTGGTGATAAATGAACAGGTGATATTGATCGAGTATTGACATTTTCCTTTAATAAAGGACTAATTGCACGTAATGGCGAATTCAATCGACCACTTTTAACGGGTTCTATAATTTAAAAAAAAAAGAAAACCAAAATAAGCATAACAAACAAATGATTGCATAGTATTATTCATCAAACATGTTCTCATATCATGCTAGACATCTTACTACTAGATATGATCATATCATAATCAAGACTAGTCATTGATGAATATCACATACATCAATAATAGTTTGAAATACAAAACTATCATTAGAACAATTATAAAAATATTTATCATCATTATATTCATCCATAAATATATTTAACTGATTATTATCATCATTTTTAATGATACTATATTAACTTTAAAATTTTCTTTTTTCTTATTCATGATAATAATATCAAAAAATTCATTTTGATAATTAAAAAAAAACTTATACCTGAATTAACTTGTTGTTCAGTTAAACTTCTTTTAACATTATCAGTTCTTTGATTATCAACAAAATTATGACATGACAAACTTCGTATTGTTCGTGCTTAATGAAATTGAAAAGAATTTTATTTTGTAAAATTCTATTGAATTTTCTTACCATTTGACATATCATCAAGTTTACAAAGAAGTCGATGTTTACTTGCTTGTATATCATTTGATTTAAATTCTTTATGTACCCAAGAAAATATATTATCAGTTGTAGAATCATTTTTATGTTTAGTTTTTGGTATTTCATATAACCTAACAGAAAAAAAAAAACATCTTTAGAAAATATAAAAAGAAGACGAAATAGAAGAATGTTTACCAGGCATCATCAGCTTCATTTTGTTCATCAAATAAATTAACAGATTCAATTTTATCAAGTGCTAATGTTGTATCAATTGATGCATCATATTGTGATTTACGTGAACGTCGTTTTTTTTGTGCTATTGAATCTTTTCTTTCAACTTTTAAATTATCATTTGTTATTGATATATCTGATTGATGAATATTTGTTTGATTAATTAATATTGTTTCATCTTGTCCTCCTGCTGACGAAAAACTTTCTGTCATTGATTCACACATTCCAATATTATCAGAAAGAAAACTTGTTGGTCGACTACCACCTGTATCCAATCTTCCAGATATTGTAAGACCAGGAAAATGTAATGCATTAATTGTTGAACTTGTTAAAAGTGTATTATTATCAAATGAAATCTTTCGAGTTGTATCAATCATTGATACAACATATTGATCAGTCATGATATTAAGTTCGATCAACTAGAAGAAATAGTTTTCTTTCTGTTTAGTTGTCTTGAATACAATAATATGCATATATATATTGTAAATATACACACCACACGTGTAGAAGTTACAAATCATAGAACCAATAGAGATATACATTCATATTCAGTGACATCTATGAAAATTGAATGGACAATTGAATTTATTTAAACGAATAAATGTATTCATAGCATAAGAGAAATTTTATTGAAAAAATCCTTGATAAAAATACGTTGGATCTATCTAATTTTTTTATTTACTAAAAAAATATGAATCATATAAAGACATATATCATCAGCTCTTTCTCTTTATTTTGCAAAATTTTTCATATTAATTTTTTGATGCAATGTCTTCTTTATGTTGCACGACATATCAAGCATGTGATAGTAAAATATTCTCAAAAGCAATATTTTATTGTATACAATGTGATTCATTACAATGTATTTCATGTGAAAAACAAATTCATAACAGTTCAAATAATAATAAACATGAACGATTAGATCTAAATGAAATCGCTGACGAATATTGTTCAATCAATAAAAGCCATCCAGCTGTTTTTCATTGTTCAACTTGTACATTATCATTTTGTTATTCATGTTATAAAAACAAACACCAACACTCAGATGGAAGAGAACATAAACTACTAAAATCTAAAGAAGAACAAACATTCATTACAGAAAAGGATAAGTAAGTTGATAAAATACTGATACTTTTGCAGTTTGATGAAGCTTTTAAGTATAATAGGAATTCGATCAACATAACGAAAATTTAGTATGTTTAATATGACATATGCACAATTCGTCTTTCAGTTTCAGTCATACATGAAACATATCGACAGATAGTTGACATATTCGTAAACATATCAGCATTTTCATCTAAAATACACAACACTAACATGTGAAAATAAACTAAATTTTATATGAATTAATTTATTGACTATGTTCGATTTATTACATAAGACACAAAATTGTAAGTATTCTAATAAACAAAGATACTATCTTTGCTATAAAACTTCAAAGCTATAATGAAAAGATTATTTCACTCATCTTGCAGTTCTGAGTGTCGCAACTATTTGATACAATATTTCTATGACTTGTAGTGTGTTTTATCCAAATTTTCTCTTTGTGAAGAGCAATTAAAACTCTGGAAACGTCAAGCTTATGTCCGGAGAGGTACTGCTTCTTTTACTTTCAAATTAAATAAAACATTGATAACTTAATCTGTTTTCTTTATCCTACATTTATTTCTTGAAGTTGTGCGTTTAATTCCGGAGGTTTTTACATCAACCCAAATAAAGACTAAATATTTAAGCTATAGTTTTTCTTTCATTTAGTGAACATTCTCGAATAGAAGCAAAACCATTTTATCCACCTTTATCCTCAGATGAACATAACAATAATATTCATAAACAAAATAACTATAAAAATACAGCTGCATCAACATTTGCCGATATTGAACTAAATAATTATGATGAACATTATATTTCACCATCACAACAACAAAATGATTTGAAACAAACAAAAACTTCCACATCTACTATATCTGAACAAAAACAAAATACGAATCACATATACAAACAAGAAAAATTGAATGAGCAACTATCCGATGCAGATTATCAACGAAATCAATTGAATACAGATTCAAATGGAGTTTTTCTATTATTAAATGCTCAAGAACATCTAACTGTAAGTTTATTATTTTTTTCTCTTGAAAAATCTTATAGAAATTCAATTCATTAAGGTTAATAATGAATTTGATTTTATTCGTCAATTAAAATCTTCATCACAAGATCCAAATGTTAAATGTATTTCAATTATTGGTAATACAGGTGATGGAAAATCATATACATTAAATCAAGTCTTTTTTAATGGCAAAGAAAAATTTCATACATCATCAACAACTGAATCATGTACAATGGGTGTATGGGCAGCATTAGATGAAAATCAACGAACACTTATACTTGATACTGAAGGTCGACTTGGTTTATCACAAAATGATAATATTCGTAATAGACTTTTACTTAAAATTTTATGTATTAGTGATATTATTATATTTCGAACACGAGCACCTAAATTACCAAATGATATGTTTCAGTTTTTATCTGATGCTTCAAATGCATTTCTAAAATTTTTTCGAAGAGAATTAGAAAATGTTATGAAAAATTGTAAAGTTGATGGACCAATGTCAACTATGGGACCAACATTAATTGTTTTTCATGAAAC